AAAAAAAAAAGAACAAGGTGTAGGGTCCTGGCATGGTCTCTCTCACTCAGTCTCTGCATTTTGGACAATCACCAGTCCAAATCAGTAGTTCACTACAGTTAAATAAAGTATACTGGATGTCAGAACTCCTATTTGCCATCGGCTGTACAACACAGCTGTTAGAGCTTGCTTTCTCCTTCTGGAAGTCATGGAGGAAACAAAACTGAGAATGAAGGTAAGACTTAAAGGATGATATGTCATTTACACAGATTATTTGCTGCTAATTAATGAAGTATTTGGGTTCTTTTAAAAAGTGCATGATATTTAAGATGAAGGATAAGAGTAACCACGCATAATGGTGTCTTTTTATGTGCGCAAAAAAGAAGCTTCTTAACAGGGTGGTTTTTTTCCAGATATATAGTTCTGAGTGTGTATTTTCATTTTCATGGAGTCTGTGCCTGAACTGCAGTGCAGATGCACTCTCCCAGCTCACCAGAGCATCACCCCTTACATGAATACCTATGTTTCCTTATGGAAACCAATGCACTACCCAAGGCAGGCAGAAAACAACTGTGGATTGTGCAGACCCTGTACCTGAACAAAGTCATGAACAAACCAGCACTCAAGAGCTGAGGAAGTCCCATAGGCTCCAGCTCTGTGGAGACACACTGTGAATCATTCTAATCAGAAGTTTACAAAGTGCATTTAAGTGATAAACGCCAGACACTTCAGGGCAATAACTATTTGGGCAATATCTAGAAAAACAAAGAGGATCACTAAATTCAAATGTCTAATAATGTCTCATACATCACAGGTTTAATGCTACCAGATCTTTTCTCAGAGTAACTAAAACAACTATGAAGATGTATTTGTTATTTTCCAGCAAAATAACACCTAGGCAAATACTAAAATAAACAATAAAACAAGACATGACAAACACTTGTGAGGGGGACTTCCCATAGTGCATACAAACTATTCGTGCCAGAATCAGGAACTACTCCTGCCATGATGTATATTCAAACTCACACTTTTTTTAAAAAATAAATAAATAGATTAAGCGAACATGACACAAACAATTTATCTTCCTGCTATCAAAGAAAATGTAAATTTCATTGGCTCCTATCAAAGTAGAAAATATAGCAAGTAAAATCTGGAAAAAATACCCAACCTATACAATATAAAGAATTGTGTAAACTAAGCTGCGTGTTTCTGGTTAGGCATGCAGCACTTATTTAATGCACAATTTTTCTTTGCAAATACACAGTGAAGTATCTGGCAAGTACTACACGTAGGAACAGTTATAAATAAAATACTTTTAAGGTATTGTCTTGTTATTAGAATCCAACAATTAAACATTAAAAGTAAATTCATAACCCTGCTATAAGAAGGTTTTTCTGCAAATAACTGACATAAGCATACAAGAAAGAAGGAATTACACTTGATCATATTTTATCAAATGCTGTTTCCGACTAAATCGTATCATCCTTCTTACATACTCCAACCAAGAATATTTACTTGTCCAGCTTTCCCAAGCAACTGAATAACACCATACTGACTCTAAAATAGTTTTGCACATGCCTACCTATTATTGTAAAGATGTGAAGGAAAGCATTCACAGTAATAACCACACTACTCATATCACTGGAAGAACCAGCAAGCTGGTAACACTGGAGAACAGGTGGCCTTGAGCAGAGCAAAAGCTCAGTTGTCTACAACTTACTTTTCTGACCACCTCTCCTTACTACTCCCCACTGTCTTTCACTAAAGCAAGTCAGGCAAACTGAAATTCCTACCACATATTAGTTTGCGTTTCCGTTCCCACTTCTATTCATCTTTCCTCTTTTCCACAGAAAATGCACTTTTCTAATCAATACCTTCTACTATTTTTCATATGCTACTACTTTAGCATATGAGTTCATCTCACAGGTGGCAAACCTATCCCTGCTGTATTAATTATTTCAGTTTTTAGTCAGCATTTTCTAACATTTCAAGTTTGTCTTTTATAAATTCAACAACAGTTAAGATATTGTTTTGCAGGTTTTTTGCCTAAGAGGCCCATTTTACTGCAGTGTGAACTAACATTAGAAAGAAGCAGAAAATAACCTATCGTTAGCAATTCTCAAATATGCTGCAGAGACAGAACAAGTAGGGGGTGTTCATTACTTCTACAGTGGTCCATTTTAGCTGCCCCTAACTGGGAGGTTAGCTTCCTCCTAACTAAAAGAGATCTGATATGATCAGATCTAATACTGTCACAAAGAAGACAGAGTTTCCGGTATACTTTGCCATGAAAAATGCAGCAAACAAAAGACAAGTAAAGATGTTTGTAAAATACCTAGAACACAATGTTTCACTGTCAGATAACATTTGTTTCTTCTCAGGGATATCACTTGGGTACTCCTGTCGCGACTTCTCTTTTTCATTACTTGGAGTTCTTTCCCAACTATTGTCATCAATTTGTTCCCTAGTACCTGATGATTTTTGATCAGACATTAATTTCTCATTGTTATCTTCTGTGCGTGTTTTGGTCCACACTGCAGTATCCTCACTAGGTTTTTGGAAACGGCTGCTCAAATTGCTGTGAACCGGCAGTTTGGAAGAGGACTGCTGTGACTTGTAGTCTCTAGGTGCACTGTAAGATGATAAATCATCTTCGGAGGGTTTCAGAAATTTGTGTTTCATGTTGCTTAGAGATGAACTCTTTTCCTGACTTCGTTTTTCATTGGAGTGTTTTTCTGCTTTGGAGCTGTAACCTCTCAATACTGAGTCCGTGCTACTGTGTCCACATTCTTGGTCTTCTTTTGACATATCTCTTTTGTAACCTTTGTCTTCTTGCGCCCATCCCTTGCCATGCTTCTCCCTAGTGTAGCCCCCAAACATGTTCCTGTTTCTATCATCTTCATCTTGTGTCTCCTTTTTCATATGCTGTTCTTTCTTCTCTTTCTCACTTTCTGAATAGTCAGTTTTCTTCCATCTTCCACTTCTATAATAATTTTCCTTTCTGGATGCAACTTTTTCAGCTTCTTCTAATCGTGACTGAAATACCTCCATTGACTATAAGAAAGAATAAAAAAACATCATACTGCTTTTAAGATCATGGGGTATTGTGAAGCTCCCTACAAAGTATTACAAGAAAGGCACCATTCTGTGAAAATGAGTCACTGTGCAAAGGGCAAGGCATGGAGTGGAAAGGAAGACCAGTACGAAAAAGGGAACTTACAGCCTCGTGTCTAAGATGCTCTGTTGGGAAGGCTTTCTGATCCTTTCTCTTGGACTATTTCTAACTTTCATCCCATGCTATAAAGTGCTAAAGCACTCCTGGGAACAGGGACCAGAGCCTCAGAACTGTCTCCTCCTGGCAACCCGGAGACTAGGGGCTTGAGCTAGGGAAAAAGGCTTCCTCTTTCTTACTCATGAACTTTGCATTTATGCTCACCAGATGCTCAGCTTCTATAGAACCAATGGACGTTCCCACTAAACCATTTTACAATCTAGTTAAACTCTTAAAAACACAAGAGAGTGGGTTCAAAATCTTTAGCTTGAAACAGGCTTTGAACCCCTGTCTCTGGCTTTCTGGACAAATACTCTATCCATTAGGCAATTATGCAAAATGTGGACTGTTCCTCTTCCCTCTTTTAAGCTGAATTAAAAGCCACTAATTTCTTTTTTTTTTTTCCCCTCAAAACTTTACATACTGAAGCAAATCAGGCAGGGATCTCTTTCAGTCACTATCCTGTACTTCAGCAGCCAGAGCGGTTCATGCTGTTTGAACTCCAGTTTCTTGAGAGAGATTCTTAAAAATAATATTCCTTACAATCACTGGCACTGAATAATTTCTACCAGCACTGACCATGTTGGTTTCATCACACAGGAGTGACTACAAATCAGTTCAAAGACAATAGTATGAAGTCACACTGTCTTATCCAAGATTTCCACAAACAAACCAGCCTAATCAAAAAACCCACAGAAAACTCAAATGTAACACTATGGCCAAGATTTAACACCCCACACCTTTGACCAATGCTTTTAAAGACAATAATATAATATGTAGGGGGGGTAGGCTTTAAAGAGTTAATATTGTTATGGCAGACTGTTTTATTAAAAATAAATCCTGAAGACTTTTAAACCCTTCAGAAGCAAGCAGCTTTCTCAATATATCTCAACTGAGCAGGTCAAAAGTGGCCAGAATTGACACAGCTCTCCAAATTATCTCAGCGTTATTATTATCCACAAAGTGCATTATTATCCGCTACGTGCAGGAGAACAAAATATGTTTTCTAGTATACATCATAATTTTCGAAGCACTCAGGTACTTTGTAACTGGGATCACTTGAACCTCCTGATGTAGAAGGTAAGTATTTTAAATTTGCTATAGGATCCCATATATTAAAAAATATTTAACAAAAAAAGATATAAAAGGCTGGGTAGCTTTAAACTCTTTGTCACTTGAGATAAGCTTCAGAGGCTGTTTTTTCCTGCTTCTTTCCTTATGTCTTACACTACACATTAAGTATTTGTGCCTTTACATGAAAGTAACCTTTTCCAAGCACCTATTAGTATGAAAAAAAATTAATTGAAGATCCTTACCCCATATCTCTCAGCTACAATTTCCTCAAAATTTCGTTTCTCTCTCTCAGCCTGCTCCTTCATCCTTTGGTATGATTTTTGTAACCAACTTAATCCAGCATCTTCTACCACTGTAACTAAAGCAGAAAACAGTAAGAGGTCATAGTTTTATATCTCAGTAGTTATTCCTATTTAACCTTACTCTGTATGTGACATTAAACCTTCACCTAAACTTAATGTAAAAATTGAAGGGGTGCAAAATAGAAAGAATGTAATAATACAATTACATGGTTTTATAAGTTAATGCTGGATGTACCTCAGTAATACCACTGATTTAAGCTTCTCCATTTTATCATAGAACACAACAAACAGTTTCCAAGACAGGATTGGCATATGACAAGTTGTGGGTTTTTTTATGAAACCTTCTTTTTGTTTCCACTTTCTGTGTCCATTCTTTGGCATACCCTTACATACAAACAAGTGCATTCCCCTTCTCAGAAAATTAATGAGCAACCCATTGCTTTCCTTTTGAGAAGCTAGCAGAGGTCTTAACATTCAGGACACATACTCACTGATGCCTGTCACCTCTTACAGATGGCTGATCTCTGTGACTCCTAAAAGTGGGCATGAGGCTAATGGTTTGCAGAACAGACTGTCCACAGGGAAAGGCTCCCAAAGAGAAAAACCAAGGACCCTATTGTTCCCTGTTGACAGAATACAAGGGCCCTTCTTATCACATAATAAACACTTCATGACATGATGAAAAATGTTTTTCTAACTGCTCTTGCTGGAAATAGGCAGGATAACCCTAGGGTAGGGAAAGAAGTGAAAAGGTTACAGAAATAATATTTTTCACAAACTGCATCTGTAATGTTCTTCATTTTAATGTGACTCAGACTTCTGTGGTTGAATATTTTAAAACTATAATTTGTGTAATGGAATGAAAGGAACCAAATGAGATGACAACAATTTATCTTGTCTTGGTTAAATCATGCTTTCCTTTAATTAGTTCAAAATGGGGAATTTCTGTAAAGATATTGAAGGTCAAACCACTCAAGATTAAAAACCAGTGAAGAGAAATTCTGCAAAACAACATACTATGATATTAACCCAATATTCACTACTGAATTTTCATCCAAATTTTACTTTATTACATGTTACTCATAATCCCTTTACATCAACATTAGTATTAATTTGTTACCAACACAGAGACCAGAGACTGGAGACAGAAATTTAAGATTATTACTAAAAGTTGCTGTTTACCTTTCTTAACTGAAGCTGCTTCATCCTTCTCTGGTGGCAAACCTGTACCACCGTCTTTCCAATAGGGATTGAGCTCTCTCTCAGACAGCATGGCCTAAAACAGAAATAATTTTAATGTGTGCACAGCATATGGTTTGTATTTTCTAGAATATTTGATAAATTCTGTGGACCTTGTATGGGAATATAACTTGTGCTACCTAAAGACAGGTAGAAATAAACATAACTCTCCATCCCGAGTCAAAACTCTCAAACACATGCTTAGCTGGCACCCTTATTACACAGAAGCAGTTTTACTGTTTGACTGCATTACCAGTGTAGCAGTAATACGCACTTGCGTCTGAAGCACTGCTGTTATGGGGGCTCTTAGTTTTACCTCAAGTTACTGCTTTTCACCCTCAAACTAGATCGCATATTGTGATTCTGTCAACTGACTTCTCTGGAAGCAGGCAAGGAAGTCCATTGGAGAAAAGGGTTGAGTAGGCATTCCAGCACTAACAAAATTTACAATTTGTCTATATTACATCATCAACTCATCACCACCACTGGCATGCTGTATGCATGGTCAAGTGTTTCTGGGTAAGGATGAGGGGACGGCCAACAAGGCAGATATCCTGCTGGGAGTCTGTTATAGACCACCCAACCAGGATGAAGGGGCAGATGAAGCATTCTACAAGCAGCTGGCAGAAGTCCAACAATCGCTAGCCCTTGTTCTCATGGGGGACTTCAACTTCCCGGACGTCTACTGGAAATACAACACGGCAGAGAAGAAGCAGTCTAGGAGGTTCCTGGAGTGTGTGGAAGACAACTTCCTGACACAGCTGGTAAGTGAGCCTACCAGGGGAGGTGCCTCGCTCAACCTGCTGTTTACAAACAGAGAAGGACTGGTGGGAGATGTGGTGGTCGGAGGCCATCTTGGGCTTAGCGACCATGAAATGATAGAATTCTCCATTCTTGGTGA